TTTCTTAATGTCAGTTCATGAAAATTCTTTTACCAGTTCATACATAAAATTAGATTTCATTGTTCAAAGGAAGTTTCATTCACAACTCGGCCACTTGCATTCCTCGCCTATAGCATAAGCTCGTTAGTTCAGCGGTGCATTTCATGTGATAATGCAATGTCTGGACTCAACAGTAATGGACTTAGATTGGTCTTGCTCTATTGACCCTAAACTCCTTTACTTGGTTACAAACGTTCATTCATTATAATTTTATCATGATTACCTATATAAAGATCAATATTTAATTTAAAGACGTTGTACGGAATTTAAATAAGTATTATTTTAGTTTTTAAAGTGGCAAAATTTTAAAATGTATTAGTATTTTTTTAGTTACATTCAAAATTTTTAAAAATACCAATACATTCTTAAAATGATAAGCAATAAATACGCTAAAGCTTTTAAATAAAATTATTTTGTATTGCATTCAGAATTAACCTATAAAACTTTAATGAACATTTATTACATAGCCTTCGATATTGTGTTGTGTTGTCCGTTGATATCATTTTCGAAACAAATCTTAATTAGTTTACGGTTAGAATTTACGCTAAAATAATTCAGCACTAACTGACACAATAATATAACACAGCACTAACATTTTAAATGTGACGATTTCTTTCGATAACACACTTAACATATCTGGATCAGGATAGAATATAATGAGCGTTTTGAATACGTTTAACTTGACAATATTGCATATTTGATTTTCATCTATGATTTTATCATATAAACCTACGGTTACTTCAATATTTTATTGGTCATTAGCAAATATGCTCAATAGTTTTTCCACACGCGTGCGCTTACATCAAACCGCAAGACAGCCCCTTCGGCAGTCGGTATCTCACGTCGTGACCAATCGCGTACGACAATTACGTTCAAATTAAACCATCAATCAATTGCAATATGAGATTCGTAATACCCACCCACCTTCAGCATCAGCACGTAATGACGGCAATTACCGACGGTCAATAGTTCAGCGTTCAGCTGCATTTGTGTTAGGTATAATTTTTGTCGTAAGGTTTACAGAAGTTTAACTCCCTTAACTCTTTGTTTTGGCTTCTACATTTAAGGTTACTATATGAGCTTCTTATGTTTCTTGTTCTCTAGAGCTTACGATTTCTTTGTAATAATTTGTATGACTCAAGTACCACCCTACTTTGTCAGTGATCTCTTTATCTGTACACCAGTGAAATCTATTTTGTCTGTTTCACCTTTTTTTCTCTCCCTGATCTGTATCAATAGCGTATCTAAATTAGGTGCAACTGAAGCCAAAACATCTTCTAACTTTGTATTTTAAACACAGATAATCGTAAATAGAGTTACAAAATTAAATCTGGACATATGTTTAATAAGGGAACGAACAGACAATCGTTCGAGGTCTTCAAATCATTAGCAATAAACAGAGCGTTTTTGTAATGTGTATATAATTTTCTAGACGCTTACACACGCGCTTGTGATTATTATGGATTTATTTTATATATATCCGTTTATTGTTTTCAAGCTTTGCCGCTGCGTAAGTTAGTAAAATATACTTATTTATAAAACCGCAACTGTACTTAAGAGCTGTCATTTAATATTGTCATTGTTCACCATGATTTAAGCGAGACCTGCCAATTACTAACAATATGAATGAACTACACACAATCTATTATGATATAGAGGGTAATGTCATGATAATTTAGCTGATCTAGGTCCTGGTGCGTTACGACGTAACTGCTCATTACGCTGACTATGTTATGGAAAATAGAAATGGGAATGCTGATTTCATATCGCTAAATAACTAACAATAATATGTAATAGTTATCATTCATTACTCTTCATAAAAAAGCATGGCTATCAGAAAATGTCAAAGAATTGGTAGATTTCGTATTCACGATTCATGAAATTAGTTTATTTCCAATATGATTAAACATTTACTTTAAAAATAAATTACCCTATAAATCACTAATCTTAAACTATATTAATAATTATGTCTTAGATAATAATTAATGATGCATGTCTTGTCGTTTGACTGATTTGAGTGATTAAGAAGCAATTAAAGTTAATTTCTTTTTCTAAATTGGACGTCAGTTACTCGCGCGCTTGCCGATTTATATTATGTTACGAAATGCATACTTAATAATATATAACTTTATTACATCTTACAAATAATAAGCGTTTTCAAAAATACTTTGCAGATCGAAAAAATAAAGTGATTTACTTAATTTTTTCGATCATACGTTAAGTACGTAAGAATAAAAAACACTTTATAAAAATTTTATATTATATCGTTTAGTAATATTATCAAAAACCCGTTAAAGGTTTTGAACAAATTTCGGATAAGCATCCGATAAAATATGCATTGAAAACTATCAATGCTTATCGATATTACGTAAAACTGTTAAATTTATATTCAATGAAATATTTAATATTTAATGTAATTGGAACTCGATACCCGATAATGAAATTAATTTATTACCTATACCTTACAAATCTGATATGTACAATTTCCATTAATTGTAACCTTAAAGCATTTGTATCCACGAGTAATTGCCTGTAATCTGTATGCAACTGGTCAGTGTTTATCGATTAGATGCGCCCGAGGCTAGTTTTCCAGATAGATACTATTGTTTATAAGATATTGAACATATCTGCAATGTAAGATCTCCAATTAGTCTCCGTTCAATTTCTTTATTTTTACCTCATTCAGTAACACTTTAAAATACTATGAAGCGTTACCGGCATTCCATTTATTGAAATAAAATTAGACTTAAAATCACACAACAGTTAATCAGTTATTTCAATACGTTGATCATTATCAACCATTTTCCTCTAAATTTCTATGGCAAAAAATATATTTGTATCCATGAAAATAACTCAATAAACTTATGTTATATTTATGTATTCCTTCAACGGATGGTTGTTGCTATAAATACAGAGAGTGTAATGAACTTCATCAATTAGATCCAAAGCTGGCTTCGCGATAAGAAATCTCGATGTTACTCTTACAACTTCAAAGGCTAAGATACAGAACATAGTTTTCTCAGAGATCAGATGGAGATTTGAAACAAGTCATTTATTTGTAACTAATAGTTTGCAACACAGAATACAGAATGGTTTACATATACCTATTGTATAACTAAATATTTATTGATCCATTACTTTCGGAAACTTCTACATTTCCAGTAACGTTAAGCTTAATTAATAGGCGCTGGCATGTTTGTACCAATTCAACGAAATTTAAAAATCTAAACGAATGAATGAAACTAGACCAAAGACAAAGTCAAAATAATCTTTATTCGAATAGACTTTTTGAATTGTCCAACATTTTTCCCTAAAAGTAGAGCTGTATTAATAACTAGCAAAATTTAATTAAACTTTATTGTATACATGGCTCACGTATTGATCTTATTTTAACATAATCTTAAAAATGAAGAAACAAATAAAAAGCTAAACAATTACGACGAATATTGCAAGTAGAATATTTATGGAGTTCATAATATTTGAGATGCAAAGAAGTGTTCATAGCTGAGCTGTTTTGTGGCCAACCACTAAATAGCGGGAAATCTATTGTTATAAAATTACGTAAATTTCAACCTAGGTACAACTGCTTCTTTTAAAACCGCAGGAATATATAAATGTCTCAAAAAGGCATATAATAATGGTAATAAAAAGCCTATAATAACAGTACTTAACCAATTGTCAAAAGATGTCTTTTATTTCGATAAGCTTTATATTCTAATTATTTCTGTCCTGTACAATGTTTAATAACAGGTCAATAAATTTTCACTCAGTCAAAATATTATAAACGATTTGTATTGTGTTGAAAAGCTATGGAATTGACGTGTTAAGTACTTATCGAAGGTTATTGAGATGTATTCTAAATTGATGAATATCTAGTCTGGCTTGCCAAACCTCGGTGCAATTGTTCTCTGTTTGATTTACAATTCGTCGTCTATCACCGTCACAGTTGCTGGACCGAAACGGGTAATGAATGCTGTCCCAGACTTGTTAGGGCCGCTTATTTCCGCATCTCATATTTCTCGTTCAGCCTTATTGTTACAGCTCACTCGGTGAAGCTGAAACTTCAACCGTGTATGGTTTACGATCAACATTATCTTCAAGTCGTATTCATTTTGTATTGATGTCACATTCTTACCGCTTCACTAAACCATACAGTTTGTAGCAGTAATAATATCTTTAACCAATTTACACGCTGTCACGCAAAACAATTTAGCATGACATGTGACGAATTTCTAGCCTACATTTTTCGTTATTATTTATTGGTTTGAATGTTTTAACAAATGTTTCAGTTCCTCGAGAAATCCCTTTAGCAAAAGAATGAGTGAAACTGTTAGTTGGCCAGATGCCAATTGCTCCATTTCTTAGCTAGTCGTTATGAACGGCGGAATGATATTAGTTCACAGTTCATGTGCGTTCCGCTGACCGATGCTCTGAGGCTAAGATATTGAGGTTAGCTTTATGTTCTGTGTACTTGTACATGCATGTGTACAGGAAACACGGTTTATGTGAAGCGAAGCGAATAATTAATCTCGCGGCTAATGCTATTACGTATTGCCTACCGGCTTAAATTAGTATGAGCCGTGTGCTAGTATCACAGTCTTTAGGATTCCACATTATTGAAGGCTGACCGAATTTAAGACATGCTTGAGATTTTTTTTAAAGTGCTTTTTACAAAACAAAAAACTTGAGTGGTGGGATTCTGCACACGCAGATGTACTAGGTTATTAGAGAAGAAAGGCAGAACAGCGATAGAAATAAAAACAAAATTGATAGTGGGAAAAGACGCAATAAACAAAGAAAACTATGTAATCTTATATAAAAGACATTACCAGTAAACTAAATGGTAAACTATGTGTAGTATTATTAAGCTATTTTAATGGCGATGATGGTGGATAAAATATTAAAAGTTTAACTTCGGATATAAATTAACCGTATTTTAAATGTCACTTATGTCTTTTTAGTTCAACTTTGTGGGAAGGATTCTAGGACCTAGAGGCATGACTGCAAAACAGTTAGAACAGGAAACAGGATGCAAAATCATGGTCAGAGGCAAAGGATCCATGAGAGATAAGAAAAAGGTCTGTACTTATGATTTCTATCTAATATTTAATTTGATTGTATATTTTAATTGTTATTTATATTTGAATAATTAATTAATTAATTATTTTTCATGCTGCCAAAGTCTGGGTATGAATGTCTGTTCAATTTACAAATAAGAGATATGCTAACCATATTATAACATATTCATATGAAATGTTTTTGGATTTAAGGAGGATGCCAACAGAGGAAAACCTAACTGGGAACACTTGGCTGACGACCTACACGTCCTCCTCACAGTTGAAGATACTGAAAATCGAGCAAAAATAAAGCTCGCCAGAGCTGTAGAAGAAGTGAAGCGTCTGCTAATACCAGTAAGTTTTACTAACATTCTAAATTTGTGGCAATGATTTTATTTAAAATTCAACTTAAGTCCTTTACTATTTTTATGGTACAAGTCCACACTGTGTTTTATTATAGCATAAGAATAGGCAGTTAAACACCACGCAGACTTACTGCGGATTGGTGGGTGTTAATGACTGCAGACATAACTAGGCCCAACGTCTGAATATGCTTCCAAGCTAGTATCAAATTTTGGTCACTTATGCGATAATTGCTTAAATTTGGCAATCATCGATCAATCAGATAGAACGCATTAACCATTTCTTCCTTCATATTATTGATCTGTCATACTAGTAGTTTGTTTTAATTTGATTTTTTAATTTATTGTCATTAAAGTAAAATGTATGAGGAATAAGCTAGGCAGAAATTTAGCCTTTGAAATCTATGATGTACGAGTATAATATATGATATGTTATACGTGTACATACTACTAATTTTCAAAAACCCAATCCATTGTTTTATACTTAAAGATTATTTTAAAGCACCTATTAAATTTTTATTACTTTGACATATACCTGGAAAAAAGTATCATATTCTGACATCACCTAATGAATGAGTGTTGCATCGTTCATTGCGCACTTAATTCATTAATGTCAATTAACAAATAACCTTGAAATGTAAATAAAATCCTAATATTGTTTCTAAATAGGTATCCTTGGTACATTATCTTAGTATTATGATTTAATAAGGACTTTTATTACAGCTAATTAATATAATAACCGATCCCGAGCAAGCCTTAATATTTTTCTCGTATTGTGGATAGTCATCGATGACAGGACATCGATATCGATTTTTATACACAAATATCGTTTACTTTGTGATTATCAAATTTATTAATTATTAGACTTTTGATGACAAGCAAGTTAAAGAGTCCTTAATCTCTTGTCATTTGTTCACAGCAAGCAGATGGCGAAGATGAACTGAAGAAACGCCAGTTGATGGAATTGGCCATCATAAATGGAACCTACCGCGATTCAAGTGCGAAGGCCGTCGTGCCCGTCAACGGTCAGTGCCTCATAAGTATGGTCGCATTCATGTTTTGTCACTAACATTGCGGCATGTTTCGCGTTGCTTGACGATGTCATCAGCAGATCATCTAGATAAACCAAAATTAAAGAATTCTCATTGTAAACATAAACCATTACCCAAAGCCTTAACTTTTTCTGGGGGTAATTTTAGGGTTTATGATTTTCATATTCAGTTACTGTTCTTTATTTTTTTTTAAGATATACCCTTATAGTCATTTATGCAATTGGTATAGCTGTCAATTTATATGCTTCCGTAAGATCGAAATCACCATAAACATTATAAAAAGTTCTGCTGATGATAAGTTTAGCTAACGATATGGAACATAAATCACTAACTCTATTGAATTCTTTTTAAAAGCCATTCAGTATACTTATACCATTTTAAAGAAAAGTCTTCATTATCTATCAGAAGGTTGATCGAGTTAATTCATATTCGGTACGTAGTTTAAAATCCATCGCCTAAGTGGTTTTGGATCTTATTAAAGGATTTTGAGTTTATTTCTGGATTCTACTTTAAATAACTTCCACGTTCTTAAGTTCTTATGTGGCTTGAATTTTGGAGTTGCCATTTGCTACCCATATTCTTAAGAAGTGTAGATAGCCAAGCCCATTGTTCTGGAATGACTCACCGTGGGGACTGAGATGACTAACTTAATTGATTTGCCGCATGTTGCCACGGTTATTAATCATTAACATGGGATGACTTCACGTCACCTAGTTCCTTATCACAGAAGGCTTTAAGGGACTGTTTGATAACAACACTTTGTTTTGCTAATAATGTTTTACGGTCATGCAAAGACTTTATACCAGTGTTATGAATTTATTATGTATGGTACTAAGATGGGATATCGCTTGGTTCTAAAGTAAATAAATAGTCTGTGTATATCACGCCAGTAATCTAAAACATAAGTTACAATATTAAATTACGAATAATTATTTATTTAAATGAGTTGTATTTGATTATAAAAAAATCATACTTTGCTCCATAAAGGATGGGGCGTAAAAAAAAATTTTTTTTTTTTTTCACTCAGTGACAAGGCGTGTTTTCTCGTTTATTTTTTCATAATTTTATATAACAACGTTTTAATTTCCTGTACAAACTCTTACTCCCATTTTGATCCCTTTATTTGCTGTTTTTCGACATAAAATATAGCATATGTTCACCACATATGATAGTTTCCTGTAGGTGACAGAATTTTTAAATCGGTCCAAAATTTTCCGAGCCTATTCGTTGCAAAGAAACAATCAAATCTTTCCTCTTTATAATATTAATATAGATGTTCCCAATTAAGTGTGATTAACATTGACCAAGTACCTTACAGCCGACGAAGAGTGGCGGCGAGTGGCAGCAGCGGCGGCTGAAACGCAGCGGCTGTTAGCGCCAGGAGGAGGTGTCGCCGGCGTAGGCGGTGTAGCGTTACGCACTCCTGCACCTTTAGGAGCACCTTTGATACTCTCTCCGCGTATGTCAGCCGCACCTGGTGCGCAAGCTGGCCTGTTAAACGGCACCGGCAGTGCCACAGGGCTTCTATCACCAGGCGAGCCGGCTCATCAGCTGATCTATGCGTCGCCATATGCTGACTACGCAAACTACGCCGCGCTGACTGCAGGCAATCCGTTGCTGACTGCGGAATACGCAGCCGCGGACCATACGGGTGGGTTGTTCGCCCGTTGATTTGAAACGAGGTTTGATAACACAATCGATGTACATTTTACATGTAAATGAGATCGAGTGCACTCAGTAAGATCACGCTGTTTCAGACGATGTGTGAATCTTTATTGTTTTTTTTTCGTTTTTTTCCAACGCTTATGATTTTCAGTAATTAAGACTATTGTTAAATTATTCTTTTTCCCAATTTTATTAAGTTTCTTGTACCTAGTCGTTCTAATCACACGAGTTCGGTGTTATCAGACATCGTCATACGTACTAACTCAATATACGGTACCGGGGATACACCTAAAAATGTGCGTTACACACAAAATTAGTCAAACATTAATTTAGATTATAAGAATTTAGGAAAATAGAGATCTAGATTATAGATGTTCCTTTAAACCTTATAAAATGTTGTTATACATAAATTTTAGTATGAATAACTGCATGTTTACCGATGTAGCGAGCCTTTTTTATTTTTCTATACAAGTTTACACAACGTTGTCAGTTTGCATGCTTTTTGTTTTCAATCATCGTCCTGCATTAACTCCGGCTTACAGCATTGACCCCTTACAGTCGTAGATATATTTAATATTACTTAGACACAACAAAAAAAAATCAAAAGAGACGTCTAAGGGCGTTTGCGTACAACTAACCGACTAATTTAGATTCTAGAGACACGGTGTAGAGGATTTATTGTACTATGTGTGAAATAAATTATTTTAATGGGGTTTGCAGCGTCGAGATATCTACTCGCTGGTTTTTGACAATGGCCGGAATCGAATCAGCCTCCCATAAGATACGGCAGACTCCATGCAACGTATCAACCAACGCTACAATATTACCGTCCTTGATATAAGATAGATTACGCTTCAAATAACCCACAGGACGACTCATAATAAAAGTCATAATAAAGCCATGATCGATCGTAGTTTAAGAATTTATTGTTTTAAGTGCGCTTAGTTTATTGACTCAAATATTTTGTACCTATGATGTTGTCTTTTGCTATGTTTTTTTTTTCTCTACGTTCTGTTTTGTACAGTATAATGAAAATTATATTTTGTTTCCATCAAAGATATATTTATATTACAGAAAATAATATTTATTTAATTAATAATTATAATGAAGTATTTATTGAAAATATAATACCGTTGCCTAATGTAGGGTTAATGGCAGTTTAACTTCTTAGTTAAAATGTAAAGTGTTTAAGTTTTGTATCTGAAACTGCCAGTAAAGGTATAGTTACCGATATTTCTTATACAAAGACATAATAATATATAATACGTATTATATTATTATTTATTTAATAATTTTATTTCGTTGAAGTCATTGAGTCCATTTAGTTCTTGTGTTATAACCCTTGCTTGTAACATAACTAATCTATTAACAATAATGTTGTAGACTCCCAATACTTTCTTGATGAACCTATGAATCCAGATATATACTTTCTCAGACTGATATTAATCACTACATAGTACAAAACAAAGTCGCTTTCTCTATCCCTATGTATGCTTAAATCTTTAAAACTACGCAACGGATTTTGATGCAGTTTCTTTTTCATAGATAGAGTGATCCAAAAGAAAGGTTTTTATGTATAATACAAGACCACGCCAGCGAAGCCGCTGGCGGAAAGCTAGTGAAATATAAAGAAACATATTCAAATTAAGAATATACTGGGTTCATAGGAACAACAATTTTAAATACCTCGAGACTTCAGTTTATTTTCATGAATACTCGAACTCTTCCGTTTGCATGTCGTTTCTTACACTATCAACATTTATATTGAATCTCATTTTTTTAATTTTGTGAATAACAGTATTTTTATTAACCGAAAAATAATTTAATTCACGAATTACAAGCAAAAGGGACCAAATATTATTTCGATTTTATCAAATAAAAAAGCAAAACATCTTTAACTTCTTAACATCACTGACAAAATTAATATGCGATTTAAATACACTCAAAATAACGATCAAATCTGAAACATTCTAGGCGGTTATAAAATAAAATGCTAAAGAATTGTAACAATAACATTTTTATAGTGAATGATAATATCTCTGTTATTGTTACAATTAAATTGTAATTTATTAATTTATTAGCCATATTATTATATTTATAAACATACCATAGGTTAAGTATTATTTTTTATCTTTAAAAGATTTTTAGCTAGGTTAGAAAAGAGTGAGCTTTATGAAAAAAATATTATACATCCGTATATTATTTTGTAGGTTTATTAAACCGCAGTTAATACTGTAGTCAATTTATTTAAAATAAAATTAAAGCCAGCCATTACCTGTACCTTTACCGGGCTATTCGGGCTCGCGATATAAATATTATATTTTGTTATATTTCCAAAGCAATAAAATAGTTAAACTCTAGGACTAAGCATAACAGTAGAAGTTAGTTACTGCCAGCGTAAGTTTCTTATATGAAAACAAATGTTTATTATGTCAAATTGGCAGTGATAGATAACTAAATACTGACGGTTAAGTATAATTTTTATCGAGAGCTTTTCATTACTGCGGTGTAAAAAATTTCCTTGCAGCATTTAAAATCGGTAAAAGGTCACTCAAGTCCGTGCAACGTAATGATTTGTTTTATTTATAAACTGTCAGAGTCGCTTGAAGGTTTTGATGCTCTGTTGAGACACAGATGTTAAATATGCGTATGCCGCTAGGTGTCGTGAGGAGGGCGGGTCGGCTCGCGCAAGTGAGGGAGCACCCTTATCAGCGCACTGCCTTACCGGCGCCTTAAATTCCCGCCAATCGCTCTCACGCCGCCATTTTGTTTACAAGGTGAGAAGCGTGCGACCACGCATGGCTACGATGAATACGTTTGCTTGCATTGTAGACTTGGTGTCCATCCCACCATTGAAGCACTCAACTTTTATAGATAAAAACAATAATTTTATGTAGACCACAAAAGAGTTTATACTGCTTTTAAAGTTTCTGTAGGGCAACTCTGCTAATGTTAGCGTAGTAATTATGGAAAGTGAATAGCGCTTCAACTATAACCATTTACGACAGTCCTTATCACTAAGAGTAGATAGCAATATAGTCTGCCTACATTAATTTGTGAGAAAGACATTACACTATATTTAACTTCAGGTTGATAGTACAATGGCAAAATTAATGTAGTTGAGGCTCTTGAGATGCGGTTATTACGTAAAAATTAGCAGAATTTATGACCTGAGTGTAACTTGATTCTGATTTAAGCGTTGGGTGCTTCAGAGTCACGCAGTTTTTTTGTTTTCCAGCAATCATATTCGTCAGCAAGCGTGGGTGCCTATGCTTTACTGTCTCTCTGTGTCTTTATATTTTATTTATTTAATTGTGTACTTATTAGTTACGTTTCGTAGTTAGTATGATGATAGGATACTACTTCATACCGGATCTGAAGTGACACTGCATAATTTGAGAACTGTGATTTTTATATTCTTTTTTTTTAGATTTTTAGATCTGACATGTTGTGAAGCATTATGTTCTGAATAATTATAATTATTTTTTAAAGTTGTTTTTCATATCAGAGTAATTTATCAAATGCTGTTCCAATGATATCACAACATGTGCCTTATAACAGCAATTATATTCTTATCGAATATCAAGCTATTGGGAAGAAGGATTGATTTTCATATAAAATATCTTTTCGATGTCATTTGTTATGCTTTATAGCTTATGTTTTTTGTTTATTATTACCAAATATATCCACAGTGGTGCTAAGCCGGGTTGTGTTATCCTTCTTTCCAATCTTATCGTCCAGTATTAGTCAAAGGGTACGGCGTTTTCTGAAATTGTGCCATCAATCCAGTATTATTCAAAATGCCCCTTTGACTTGACATTTTTCTTAATCATCACAACTTTTTCTTAGTCAACATAAGATTTTTTTATATGAAATTTTTTAAACTAGTTGTTCTATTGCCTTAGGTATTATATATGAACTTTCTTATTAGGAAGTGTTATTGTTAAGATTGCACTTGTGTCCTTGTGGATTTTAAGACGGCATGTGCCGATTACGTATTCTCACGCTTTATTATGAAACTTATATATAGAACAAAATGCTATTCTTAATTTTATGAAATGATTTTAGTATGAGCGGATGATGTTTTTGTAAAGATATTGTTTCAATTGTTGATTGTAAATAAATGCATTTTCAGAAGATATACATGCAATAAATTTGTCTGAATTTTATATAAGCGTTTTCTTTATGATTTGAGCTAGAACCGTGTTAAGATGTAAAATTTAGAAATGTTTATTTTTTTTTTACAATGATAAGTCAATAAAGTTGATGACGTGCAGTCGATTGGAATATTTAGCCTCACACAACTAACATGCAACTCCACAAGGCCAAGTTCCCGTTTGTTTACATAATAATAATTATTAAGTGCACTATCATAACTGCTATTGTCACTTGCAGATTATTTGTAACTATGTATTTATAATATATGAGTCACTAACATGCAAATATGTAATGATACCAAATTATCACAATCTCTATTAACATTATTATGTGAATGCCATACCATAATCAAATGATTTTTTTTCTATAGAATTTACCGAGCGACGTTTTGAATTACTTACATAATTGCATTTGGGTGCTATGGTTATACATAAGTGATAAAAAATATGCTTGTTTTTGGGTGATGTTCGACGCATGGTACAATATAAAAACAATATGTTTCGAGCATTGTCCTATTGGGAACTATTGGGCATTTAATCCTATATTGTAGATTATCATTATCATACTAAATTACTTTAACATTATCTCAACCATTAACTGCGTAAACTAATGTAATGAGTACCATTTGCTACAATACAATCGGGTCCAAGTACGAAACTGAAATATTAACACGCGGCGCGAATGCCTGATAGCACCCCCTTAATACTTGTTTTTATTAGATTCTCTGTGATTATTATAATATCCGCACTTGTTTTGTCAATACGAGTTCACGGTTTATAGCTCTTGTTGAATAGCTGCATGTCGGTCTCCATGCATAAATACTTACGACATTTCCATTCCCAACCATCAACTGTTTATTACCTCTTAACTGAAACATTCAAAATACCGTTATTCTTAAAAGCAGTATTATAATTATTGATATCTTTTAAAGATCATAATAATCTCAATTTTATTACATTATAATGTTATGGAGAATCGAATTCACATATTATTTGTATACTTAACTATACTATCCTTCATTATATATACCTATTATATGTCAATAAAACAAGCTAATTCGCTTCAACGAGTCCTCAAATCTTCGTACCATTTAGAGCATTAGCAGTTGAATAATATCCGAGATATCCTAAATGTTTGATTCGATACAATCGATTGCAATTCGATATTAAGATCGCGTTCCAACTATCTGTCGGCAGCTCAACAATAGCGATAAATCGTACCTCGATTGTGGCACTCGTGTCGGACCCATGACATTTTGACGACACTAACATTCTGTTTTTTTTCTCTCTTCTCGTTAACCTGGTAGGTGAGTGCTAACGGCGCTGAGGAACTAACAGCTGAGGAACTGGCGGCCGACACACGTCTCTCCTAGAGCGCGCGTAACATTATCATCGGAACATCGACCACCATGTAGCTATAGATGTTGGGCCTATCACGTTAACAAATATGTAATATAATAGTCTAACTATTAACATTTATATGCCTGTTATGTTTATAACATGAGGATCTTTATTAACATTTTTTTATATATTTCTTTTTTTTTTGATATGGCACACGCCATCGACTATATTTACTATATTTTATTGTTGTCGCTTGATCGTGTTGTTGTTTAAGCAGTGTCGTTAGGACCCAGACCTGTAGCGGTGTTAAATGTGTGGTTATTTTAATTAAGTTATAATGATACTTGTGTTATTTTTTTTTTTCATTCTATCGATTGCTCTAGTGATATTAAAAAAAAATAAAGTAGCACATTTAACACCGCTTTCTATAGCATCGTATTTGGAGGAGCAAATCTTTTATTTCACATTGTTGACGAACCGTCGAGCACCTATTTGTTTAAAAGTCAAATTGACTTTTTAAAGTCCATCGATGCTATGATAATTCGAAAAACTTTGGTATAATGTAAGAAGAAATCTTCAACACGCCATCTTGGAAACAATATATAGATGGAGCTTTTCATATGACAGACGTCAAGTAAGTGTACGATGATCTTGAAAATATTTTTTTTTATGCTCTAAAGGTCTATCTTCTTAGCATTGGCTGAGAACGAACGGTTGTTTTGACATTACATGCACTCATTGACCCGTATATATTTTGGCAATATTATTTTTCACTTAAAAACCAAAGACTAATGTAATATATTTTTGAACGTTGTGTTTTCAAATCAAAATTCATGTCTTCCTCGAGAAATTCATTAACAAATCGGTCAGTGAGTATATGAAAATGAATGTGAGATATTTAATTTACCTTTTTAAAAAAAGAGAAATACAATATTAATAATTGTATTTTACTTTATTTTAGTGCTTAATATTTATAAAGAAATTTTATACATGTGCATCCCAAGTGCCTTAATGTACAATCGCACCGTCTTGGTTCTATATTTAAATTGTTAAATGCTTATAATACTAGGTTAAGTTAGATGAGATTAAAAATGATTGTTAAACTTTGCTAAATGTTAATTTTATAGGCATCGATTTCGATATATTGATGAGTGATGTCCAAATATTTTCTTAACATTAGTTTTTCTTTTTTTATTCAAATTATAATTACGTTAATATAAGTGCCTTAATTACAATCTCTTTTGGAATCTCCGGATAGCTATCTCGAACATTAGTTTATTCATGATCTAATAATAACATATACATTTTTTTATATTCATACGAATATAAAAACTTCTCAACCAATACATAAATAAGATCAAATTTCAAATTCTGACGAATTCTCAGACCAAACTGATTTATTAAGTAAAATGTATTCTTTATGTAACTGTTATGTACATAGCTTACATATTCTATTGTTTGGAAGCAATAATTCAATTACAATTTAAGTTAAGTGCAATAGAAATTATATATTTAAATAAAATATGTAGGTAATAAATCTCAATAAAAAGTTTTTACAAAATATATATAGAGATCTGATGTTGAGATTAATAAACTAGATAAAAATATTATCGCACATGTTCTTGATTAAATATTACATATGTACTTTGTTTTTAAAAATAACTTATATTTTAGATTTTAGTTATAAATTTAATTGAAATACATTCAGGCTATGCATTTAGGTGCTTCCAAAAGTCATGGGGATTGAAAGCATAGTTTCGGTTTGTATACCTATACATTGGTATTGTTTAAAGGCATTATTAAGTAACTACTTATATCGATACCGCATAATCTTATCGCTCCATTTATTCATAAATATATTAGTGTTTAGTACGTTTTCATATAGGCGTTTTGATTGCGGAACTGTAGCGTTTGTAAATCAAGCGGCTTGATATTATGATGGACATTGACTTATGACAATCGCGCTCGGCTTGATCTATACATATGACAGTCATCCTCAGCTTTATCTTTACACATGACAGTCGCACTCAGCTAGATCTAAACATATGACAACCGCGCTCAGGTTGATCTATACATATTTCAGTCGCACGTGGGTAGGTTTCTTTCTATAAATGTCACAACTGCTAGATTGCAGCGCTACAGTTGCGTTACCATAAACACTATATCGTTGAGGATACAGTAAAACCGCGTAACATCAATTAGAGTAATTTTTAAATAAATTAACATTACGAAATAAATGTTAGCTACACAGTATTGAATATCCCCGACGATATATGATAACGCTCTTAGTTTCATATAGTAACACAGGTAATTTCATTGTTCATATCTGTTTGTTTAAACTTCGAAGTTGTTAACACTCCGTCCATGATTGTAATCGTTTAAGTACTTAAATTTTGGTCTCTTACTAATCACAAATAGATACAAATCTAGTTAAAAGGAACATTGTGTTAACAATTTATAAGATATTTTTCTTTTCTCTAAATGCGTTACCGAACACATAATGAACCATTAACTGAAAACCAGGTAAGGTCGAACATTTAAATATGGTAGCTCGAAACCTTTCATTAAAATAAAAAGGGAATATACGGCATAATCAAGTAAATATTTTCCTAAATAAATACTAGAGCCACTCAATAAATTACGTCATGTGAGAGAGCGAGACGAAGCGATAAATTTAACGCGAGCACAGGAAACATCGTACTGCCCGAGAGCTACGATTCTGTAAAAATCGAAACCCAAATTCGAATTCACTCAGGTGTCCAAATTCACTTCAAAAAACCTACAAGCCATATTAATTTTTTATACAATCAGTTATAGTATTTTATTTTTGTTTCTTTTAAAGTCAAGGCGCCAAATTAGTAAATTTATCTGAAAATACTTTATGATTACCGCCTAATATGCAGTAACAGCTCACTTTACTGCATTTAAAATAGCAAAAAACTAGAAACCGTAATAGGTATTAAATATTATAATGACTATAATTAATTTATTTGTCAAGTTTTCAACCTGAAATTTCTGGATTATTTTAGTATTCCAACTTTTCTTACAGTTTCCATTCAAAATTTTATAATAATCATTGATTGTTTTAAAAATAAACAATTAAAAAAAAACTTGTTTTTGCTAGTCAAAGTCAAAATAATCTTTGAATAAAGATTATTTTGACTTTGACTTTGACTTTGACTTAAATATATTTGCCTACTTGAACGCCGTTTGAAGTTAGAAGGCCTTAATCTCCTAAATAGCCAAAAGAGCGTTAGTCTCCAGAACTGTGTCATCTGCCCTAATTCTAATATGCAATGGCCATTATGTAAATGCATGTTCCCTTTTATTTTAATCGAACGGAAAAGCTAAGATTGACTTTCGCATAGCGCATGCATCTTACTCGGTATCTACAAGAAGAAACAGGATAGCTAGCGGCTTCTCAGATTTAGATTAAATAATATATTCTTTATTACAACCTTCTTTAAAAAAACAATCATAGTGTAGTGAATACACCACCCGAGAATATGCTCCTTCGTAGCTAGAACGTATGAATTCAGAGCAATTATAAGAACCTTATTCATTAGTACATAGTTTCTTTTATGATCTATTATCAAAAGGCTTCTCACTTAATTAAGTTACACAAAGAGTAATTATTACAAATGTCATCACTTTCTCTAATGTGTTTATA